GATAATGCCAATTCCCTCTATTTCTTACCATAAACACCATATTAAACATTATAAATCCCTTGTTAAGCATACTGCTCGTCGCCTTGCTCATCTCAAGTCAACTCATCCCCCTACTAACGTGCTCAATATATTCAGTTCCGTCGGATTAAAGCCCAGAAACAGCAACTTGCTCATTATATTAACTACTTGCATAAACATACTGATCAATTAGATATCCTCAATGGATGCTAATTTATCCCATTTATCTATTTCACAAATGTCTCATCCAAGGCCTCCCTCTAAAGCATTGGCTCCTTCTAGTCAACCTTTTGTTCCTCCTCCTTTGGAGTTAGTCACCAAATACCATACCATCCTGTTGAATTGGTTAACCGTTACCAAATTCTTGGTAACATTTCTAAACCTAGTTACACATCTACTTTGGCTACTGATCCTTTTGCTTCCTCTAGTCAAGCGGTCACTCCATACCCGCCAAACCCTCTTAAATCAACTCGCTCTGATTATGTTCAATCTACCACTACTAATCTCTTTTTCAAAGAACCTAGTCACCCAAAGAGTCATACTGTTCATGATCTGGTTAAATCTTATTTCCCTCCTGGATGGAATTTTATTCCTCTCCATCCAGAAAAAACAATTACTTTCTATAAAGACATCATGTTCAACCATCAGTCAATTGTGATTAAACCCATTTATGATCGCACTTACACAAGTGAAATTGTGTATCATTCACTCTATATTCACAACTTTGTTTCTCTGGTTGATTGGGGTTCTCCTTACCAACTACGAGACTTGCCTGGTCATTCAATTCAATACAGTTACTATGATTACATTGATGCTTGGCTCAAAGTCCTCTTGTATCAAAATGAGTCAAACAGTCACTCTTGGTTTCTTCAATTTGATCAAAAGTTCAAATCCGAGTTACCTACTTGGTTTCTGCGATGGTGGACTCAGTATGGCGCCATTTCAGAAATCTTCCCATCTGTAATTATGGAACAAGTCAATTACTTCTCTACTGTTTTCTCATTCACTCCTCAGCAAAGGAAATTCCCTTCATTGCTTATTTTTGTATCCAAATACAAAATCCCTTGGATATTCAAATGGCAATATGGTATTTCTGATGATGTTATTTACCATCAACACATGGTTAAATGGTGGGATAATTTCAAAATTCCACGCATTGTTGAAATTGTTCAAGCTGAATTCCCAATCAATTTACATGCTCCAACTCCTACTATGATTAAAGCTCAGCAGATCCCAGCTGCTCCATTAACACAAGGAAGTCAACTTCCTCCAGTCAATCTTGGAAGCCCAACATCTAGTTCATCCAAGCCCAATTCATCCAAGTGAAAGATTATGCCCAAGTCAACAAAGCCCATCACTGATCAGCCCAAATCAAAGGAAAAATCCAAGTCCAAGGTTAAGCCTAAATCCAAGTCATCCAAGGATGAGCTTCTCCAAACGGCTCGTCTCCTTATGGCCCAAGCCAAGTCAGATTCGGATAATAATGATTCATAAGAAAGTTCAAACAGTTCAAACTCTTCTGAAGGTTCAACTACTCAAAATCCATATGGACCCGAATTTCAAGATGCTCAGGATCCATATGCCTAGTCACTTGTTCAACTTATCAACATTGGATTCTATATAGCTATAATTATCAGCTTCAATCAATACTCATTTTTTGAGAAAAGCTACTGATATACATATCTATATTGATGCCCTCAGTCACATGCCCCCAAGCAATGAATAGTGAAAAAAGTCAACTTTATTGTTCACTATTCATCAAAAAGTCAACATTACTATTCCACATTCATCATGATTTATCCTACCGACAAAATTCAGCATAGTAAAAGGCAGCCATCAACTTTAGTCACTCACTGAAAGCAGCAGACAACTCCCATGTGCTCCTGATGCTCCTTTCAAGTCAAGATTATTCACTCACAAGGTTAACAGTAGTCTCTTTTGATTATAAAAGAGCCTCTTCAATCAAGAATAAAGCAGAGTTAGAAAAAATTGAGAGTGCTCATTCCTCAAGAAAAATAGCTGTCTCTGTAATTTTATTTTCAAGTTCGTTTTCAAGTTATGTATTTTGAAGAATTGTTTGTTTCATTCCAGTAAACAATTGTAAGTTCTATTATTTATGTTTATTTAAATTTATGTTTATTTAAATTGTTTTATTATTATTTATGTTGATTTAAACTGTGTTATTTTAGTGTTGTTTCCTCCTTCCTGCTTCCGTGTCTTCCGTGTCTTTTTAACATGTTACTGTTTACATAAATTTTGATGGTATTTTTTAAAAAAAGAATTTCATAGTCAACATAAATCTTGTTTGATAAATCTTAATGAGAGGATTCTAAAAATACTAATTTTATTTTAAATTAATAGATAGTTTAGTTATAGTTGTTTCTAGGAAAAGAAATTTTCCAAATTTAAAGTTAATTAAATCTTACTTTCGATCAACAATATATCACAAGAAATAATAAATAGATTATCAATTTTATCTATTGAAAATAATTTAGTTATAAGTTGGATTATGTAAGTTTGATTAGCAATTTTGTAGCTTAAAATTCTAGAATGGTATTGTTTAAATGATATTTTGTCACAATTTGTTGACTTTTTATTTGGTACTTGAGTTTGGATTATTTTAGTACTTTTTTGTTATAATTTTTTTATATATTTAAGTAAATTTTATGTCAAATACCAAAAATAAATAAATAAATAAATAGTTACATAATCTTTTGATCACAAATTTTTTTCTTTTTTTTAATTTATGGAAGGCCTCATATTAGGAGCTCGCTTTAGGCCTCAAAAATGTCTGAGCCGACCCTAGATGAAGAGCTAGTTATTGTTATAATTTAGCAATAAATAGTGTTAAAAATTTTAATTTTAGCAATTTTGCTCCAATGATAACTTTTCACACAAAATGTCAAATAAAAATGTTATATGTAGATACTTAGAGGAAAGAGAGAGATACTAAGATTTTAGCTATATTAAAAACTTGTGCTATATTTGACACAATTTTTACCTATAGGTAATATATAGCAAGTCATTTGCGTTATCATTGAAGTGAAAGTTTGGAAACTTCATGGCAAAAATAGCAATAGCAAGCCATATAGCACCATTAGAGATGCTCTAATAAGTGATCATATTATACATCCATTATAATTTGATACAAATTGCTAACCTTTTAATACAAATAAATAAATAACCACCTAACCTCTAAAAAAAATACATGAATAATCACTTGATTTAGCTTAATTGGTTGTTGGTTATCATCAATGTGTGTGTTAAGAGTGAAGAATAACATTTTTAGGTGGTATTATGGAGTTATATTGTTGATTTATATAAAGTAGTAAAGCTTAATATTTTAGTGTCACACCCCAAAATTTGGACAATTAAATATTAAATTAATATTAAATCCCAATGAATATTCCATCATCTAAATCCCAGGGGTGAAACAAAATCTAAACATTCACGTCCCCAAAGGGTTTAAGTAAATTCCCATCCTTGAAAGATTACAAGGGATAAAAAAAACTAACAAAATGCCAACCAAACCATCCACCATAATTTCATAACTAACCAATACCTCCAATATTAAAGTAACAATAAATAGTCAACATAACTTAAATAATGTAAAGTTACAAACTATGTCAAATTATCAAAATACTAAGGTCATAAAAAAAATAATAAATACATAAACTAATATCAACCCTAAGCTTAAAAAAACAAAAGAAGTCCAAACGACATGTCCAACAACTATAATTATTTCTCTTCACCACCATAGTCCCAACTAATCCTGCAAAGGAAGCTCGGCTGCGCTCAAACAGAACGCACCCGAGATTATAGCGATCCCGGTTGTCCCTTTGCTGTTTTGTTGTATTCCGGACTCGGTTCCGTGAAGTTGGTAATGGTATCTATCTTGTTGCCGTCCTTTAATTCCACTTGGTTGAGTTTTAGGATGTTTTGAGCAGGGTTGTTACAGGTTGGTTAGGCCTTGGTTTCAATTCCTTGTTGTCCAGTTTTTAGGCATTCCGCTCGAGCAGGTCTTATTGCGCTCAAGCGGGGATTACACACCTCCAGTATTTTCATGTCTCTGCAAAACTTCTGCATATGTGATTTTTACGCTCGAGCGGGTAGTGCTTTCTGGGTGTAAGTTATGGGAGGTGGAAATCTACGCTCGAGCGGACTGGTTTTCGCGCTCGAGCGGAAGTGCTTTATTCTTGTGTCTTGGCGCTCGAGCGGGCATTATTGCGCTCGAGCGTGTACAGATTTTGTTCTTGGCGCTCGAGCATTGTGTTCTCCGCTCGAGCGGGTCATGCGTATATGAGTTATCCGCTGGGTGATTTTAAATCACCCAGCGGATAACTCATAGACGTATGACCCGCTCGAGCGTAGAACACAATGCTTGAGCGCCAAGAACAAAAATCTGAACACGCTCGAGCGTAATCAGGCCCGCTCGAGCTCCAAGACACAAGAACAAAGCACTTCCGCTCGAGTGCGAAAACCAGTCCGCTCGAGCGTAGATTTCCCCCTCCTTGGTTTTGGTCTCTTCTCCATCCGAGCTCTAACTTCGAGGTAGGGACATCCTACTCTTCTTTATGAGCTTTGTCTTTAAATTTTAGTATTTTGAGATGTTGGGGTTGGTTTGGTAATTTTGTGAAAGTTTGGGGCTTCTGTGTAAATTTACAAAAGTTGGGGTTTTAGCTATATAAAAACCTAGATGCATGTTTGGCATGGAAAAGTGAAATTAATGTTAAAACATTAATGAAAACGGAACCTAAGGGTTGTAATGTTAATTATGGAAAAAGCCCTAATTACATTGGTTAATTAATTCGCATGATTAATTATGAGAAATGAGGAATTGATTTGGAAAGTTGTGGGATTAAAGGGTGTAGTTGGATTATTTATCACTCACCTAGTTGGAATGTTGATTATATAGATCCATTGTTGCATTTATTTTCTGCATAGAAATAACTGCTTTGGGCTAAAAAATAAATTTCCATCACAGTCCATGATAGCTGCCCTTACTTCACATGCAGAGAAAGCAGCTTCCAGGTCAGAAAATGCATCACTAGCTGCAACTGACTTAAAAATGCCTCCCAGAGTTGGTCTAATTGCCCAGCTTTCGGTGAACTGCCTCCTAAAGTGCTGTAAGACTGCAAGTCGTACGGTCTCTGGCTCCTTCATATCAACTCCATCAATTGAGATAGAATTGATTGAATTTCTATTCCTTCTGCTACTGGCCATAACATGGAAAAACTTAGTATTCCTGTCCCCATTCAAGATCCAGTTTACTCTAGACTTCTGATGCCAAATCCTTTCCAGCATCCTACTAAGCTTCCATACCTCCCCTGTCACCTCCCTTCTTCTATTCTTTTCAGATTCAGACAAAGTTCTGTCTTCTGCAGTAATGTCGATGCCATGCAGCTCTACCTCTGCCTCCTTTAATTTTGTGGCTACATTCCCAAAAACTTCAGAGTTCCATTTTTTCAGCTCTCCCTTGAGCAATTTTAGTTTATGAAGAAGAATATACCCCGCACTCCCAGTAATCCTATTTTCAGTCCAGAATTTTTCCATAACAGAGAGGAAACAAGGGTGCATAATCCATGCATTAATGAACCGGAAGGGTCTTGGCCCCCAATCCCTCTCATCTTCCATTAACAAGAGTGGGCAATGATCAGAGCAGGTTCTAGGAAGGCCCCATAGCTTGAAGTTAAATCTTTGCAACCACTCAGGATTTAACAGGACCCTGTCAATCCTACTCCATTTCTCCCCCTCTTGAGCATTACACCATGTGTACTTCCTACCAAGCAATGGTATATCATTTAACTCACATTTATCAATGAATGCATTTAGTTCCTTCAGCCCTTTTTCCCTTCCAGAGCAGCCCCCCCTTTCCCCAATAAATCTGATCTCATTGAAATCCCCCCCCAAGCACCATGGATTTGGAAAGTCAGACTTTAATTTTATTAAAGTATCCCAAAGCATACCTCTACCATTCACATCATTAGGGGCATAAACATTTAGTATGACACAATCAAAAGATTTCAGGAGAGTACCTGACAGGAGAACAAATCTTCTATTGGAACAACAGTTCTTCAATTGAAATAGGCTTGGATCCCAAATACAGAGTAGTCCCCCTGCTAACCCTTCTGAATCTACTGCCATAAATTCCATATCCCTCCTTCCCCACAAGGTTCTAACTTCACTTTCTGAGATAGAGGTTTTCTTAGTTTCCTGTAATAGAACAAAGTCAACCCTCCTATCACAAATAAGCTTCCTAATCCTCCCCCTCTTCACAGGTTTCCCTAATCCTCTGATATTCCATGACATTAAGATCATCAGTCAACATATGATACGCCAAGTTCCCCTAGAGAGACACTGAGACCCTTATGCCGTGTCCCTCCCCTTTCTTCTGCCTCTGTCAATTGATTCAAGCTCCACCAATTTCTCCAAAACTTCACTATCTTTACCATTGTAATGAATTCCCAGAACTTTACCCAGCTGAAGAGTAGCTTGAGCTTCACTAAGAATATGCCTCCCTTTGCTTGAACCACTCGTGGTTGCTGCCGAAAGAGACACGGCTGCTGCAGCAGCCCTGAACACTGCGCACTTAGGGATAGACCTGCTTGATGGGTTACCTTTTTGGCCGTACAGACGAGCTAACCTCTTATACCCAACCTCCTCTGTGTTCGGCTTTGCTGCACCCTGCCCTCCCACTTTCATCTTTCCTTTCCTTCTTGCCTTCTTCACAGCGTTGGAGCTTCCATTGATGGTAGTCTGGCTTGATTGCACCCAGAGCTCGTCTTTCCTGGTACCAGCCCACTGAGCTTTATTTGTGTGGACTATGGATGTGCCCACCCCCTCTTCAGTCAGCCCATTTGGAGAACCAGGCCCATGTATACGGCCCAAATTAACTTCCAGGTGGATACCAGGCCTGTGCCCACTTGCCCCACTAACACTCTTAATAAACCCAGGGGTAAACAGATGCTCATCAAAGTTAACATTATTCCTCTGCAGTGCACTGTCTGCCATTACCAATAGAGAGCTATCCATGCGTGCCTCAAACCCAAATATGTTTCCCACGCCACTTTCAGGCTCTACGACCACTGTATTAACTTGGGCAGCTTTACAGTTCGGCTCCAGCCCACATTGGGTCTCAACCACTACGGTGTCAGAGTTTGCCAGCTCATCATCTTCTTCCTCAACCTCCTTCGGCATGTCATCTGCTTCATTTCCAGCTCCACACCCAGCTACTGGTTCGTGATTAACAGCTCCATTAGAGCTATGGACATCCTCAACCACACTAAGTATCGAACTGTCATTATCAAATATGCTAACTGGTTGCTCTTCGCACACCATAACAGGATATAACCTGCCTTTGCATTCCAGATTAATGGTTTTATTGATGAAGTCCATACACTGAGTTACAATTCTGACTCTTCCATAACAGAAGGACTTGGGTTGGCAAAAGTCTCCTTCCAATCGAATAACACTTCCCCAAATGTTGCCAATCTTGCAGAGAGTGTTCCTATTCCACATGCTTAGGGGTATCCCATGGCATCTGAGCCACAGGCACCTCTCTTGTTCTGCACGAGCTCCTGGTTCCCACTCTTTAACAAACTCACACCATTGTCCACACCATTCTCTGACCAGTGATAGTTTTGCATCCTTAGCTTCTTTGGATTTAAAGGTGACCACCACGTCTCTGCCTCCTCCACGCCTGACCATTACTTCCTCAATTCCTTTCTCCTTAAAAATCTTCTCGATGCCATGTATAGAGTATTCTTCTTTGAATCTCAATATCACACTCTCGTGCAGCCAACCATGACCGGCTTCATCTACCATGATAGTTCTTTCAACTTTCCCCGCAGCTCCTCTCACGTTTGTTTTTAGTATTTCAGCATATGACCTCTGTACACCATGCTGATGGTGTACTTCTCTTCCACCTGCTTCGTTGATGCCTTTGCTCCCTGTAGTTTGGTTTCTATTCTGTGCTCCTTCCTTAAGTCTATCATACTCTGCCATTTTAACTTGAATCTCCCTGTCCTCGACCCATAAACCATTCGCTTTAGACACTGCAACCCTCGCTGCCACTGAGCAGTCGAACCTGACAAAGCCAAACCTGGTATTTGTGAACTTCCTCCTCTTCTGCGGGATAAATACATCTTTCACTATTCCAAACTTTGTAAACAATTTGAACAATGTTTTTGGGTCCATACTGGAAGGCAAACTATCCACAAACACAGTGAACAATTCAGTCCTTGGCTCCTTGCTCCCTGTACCTTTCCCTCTTCTCTGCTTCATGACTGGAATCCACCCTCCTTGCTCCATTTCCACTGCAGAGTATTCTCAAATTTAGAATAAGGTTAATTATCATAAGAAATGCAAACAGATAGGTGGGGATGGAGGGGGAAGGGGTGATGTAGACGCATGAGAAATTTTCTTTTATATATAGTAAGTAAATTGAGAACAAAAATTTAACCACCCTAACATTACTTTTTGTTAAGAACATGATTTCACCTCATATTTTAATTAAAAAAAATGAAAAAATCACTTCTTAGTTTGTGGAAGAAACACACATGCAAACAATTCATTCTGAGAGCATTGCATGTGAGTTTAATCATTTTCATTGCTAACTTTCCAATCTATAAAACATACTTTGTACTCACTATATTCTATAATCTAACTGTTGTCTCATCTATTTGCCTTATGCACACTAGAGAATGTAAAATGAAGAATTTCTTCGTAGATCTTCATGATAAAATTGACAACATTTATTGAAAATTTCAAAAGGGTCCCTATCAGTGTTATGAGAGAGTTGGTCAACATCTTCAACTTCTAGAAAACATAATTTTCTTGTCTTATTATAAAAGGTAAATTACATATTTGTCCCAAGGTATAAAGAAAATATAAATAATCTTACTGTTCTAATATAATTACATTAACCTCCCTTCTAATAAAATTAAAGTGATTGAAACTAATACAAATAGTATGAAATCATAATGATAAATAAAGGAAAATATGCATTTTAGTGTAACAAAGATAACATCATCAATTTTTCATTTATACGATTAATGAATTATTCATGAAAAATGAGGTATAAGTATCATGTGAATTAAAATCTTAAAAAAACTCAATATAATTATATTAAAACTGTGGGACTTACTGTATTTTATCAAAATCTCGAGTTAGTGTAATTTATCGGAGTAAAAGTGTATATTTACATGAAAGATTAATTTTATTTTTTTAAAAAAAAAAAAAAAAAGAAGGGAAAAAAATTCATTATTTAGCATATTTGGGGCTAATTATATAGGCTTTTTAGATGGCCCAACCCATGTGATTGGCTCTGAAAAGCTCACTGAGTCAGGCTTATGGATTAGAGCGCGGATTCACGGCCGCCCTACCCAGCAGCCAAACCCAGCAGCCTCCAAAACGACGTCGTTTTGGGGGCAGATTTTCAAAAAAAAAAAAAAGCAAAGGAAGAGGGAGGAAGGAGAGGAAGAGGAAGGAAGGAGGAGGAGGAAGGGAAGGGCCGGACTGGAGGGGGCCATAATCACAGGGGGAGGAGGAGGCGGAGGCGGGGCCGGAGCTGCGACGATCGGCGGCGACGGGCTCTCTCCTCTCTCTCTCTCTTTCTCTCTTCCCCTCTTCTTCTCTCTTTCTCTCCCTCTCCCTCTTCTGCGTTTCAGACTCGAAAATGGAAGGGAAAAAAAAATGCCCAAAACGACGTCATTTTGGGCATTAGGGGGATTCGGGGGGCAAAGTTTCGAGAGAAAAATTATTTCTCTCACCTAAAATAGTCAAAAAGTCACTATCACAAGGTCAATCATTCTTTCTTTTTTTCTGTACGCCTTTTTGTTATGTCTCTTTTTTATTTTTTAGAATGCTTTCCCCCATTTGTCAGACATTTAGGTCTTATTTTATAGTTTTCATCTATGCACACTGCTGAATGGTCAATTTATGGGATAGATTCTACCTTTATGTAATTATTTTTCTTCTTCGTATTTCTATTACAATTAAAATTTTATTTATTTATTTTATATATGAGGCTTGGGATATATATATATATATATATATATATATGAGGCTTGGGATATAATTGTATAGTTGGGTAAAGCGCTAGTTAACATAAAACAATCACGTTTAAGTAACATACCACCTGAGATTAATTTTTTTAAGACTGTTAGTTCTAGGCTTATCAATTCTTTTGGATGTGTATTATATTTCATATTTAGATTAACCCAAGATTACGAAAAGGGATTGATCTGATCAACTTTTCAGTTTAGCTAATTAGTTTGAATCTCTCCTTAATCTTTCATTTTGTAGCACACCCTCTCTTAGATTTCAAAAGTCTCCTATTTGGGTTACTATGTCCGGATGAACCTAGTTCGAACCCCAATTTATCTAGCTAAACCTGATATTATATATTTTGTTGAATTATTAATCCAACCTCATGATTATGTCTGTTCAAACAAATATGGCTTATGGATATCTAAAAGTTAAATCTTTTCTAGGCTTTTTATTTTTTATTTTTTGGACATTTTCATGAACCCCTCTCTCATTGTCATATTGAGCGAAATTCTAGCACTACACAAATTAACAAATTTTATTATTTTTTTTACAAAAAAGTTTGTGGTTTGTATATTATTTGTATTCTTTTTTCTTATTGTTCTCACTCTTTTGTTTTATTTTATTTATTTTTTAGGAAGTTTTAGTGCTATTTATATTTTTGTACTTCAAAAATTACTATATATCACTAATTATTTTAATCACTGCTTATGTGGAAATTAACGATTAGTTACTTATTACTAAGGAAATATTAGAAACAAATGATTTGTAAATTAACAAAAACAATAATATACAATATAAAAGGATGAAGTAAAAAAAAAAAAAGCAATAGGATATAATATCCCCTTGTATATACTTAATTTAAATTGACAGAGTCATCTTATCAAGTTTTTGGCTTGAGGCATTCTTGGCATACATCACTGTCCTCATTGCAACACAACTACTATATAGTTGTCATGGAGCCCTATTTGGTCAAGGAAGGCATCACAGGACAAACCCATGGTAGAATATGTTCACTATTGGGTTGTTGCATTTGAAGTGAATAATGCAAAAGTGAGAACAGTAATACTACAATTTTAGAAATTTTATCTTGAATTTTGTCTAGAAACATTAATTTATGATTTATATTCATTTTATACTTAGACTCAGAATATACCAGTTCAAACTCCACCACACAACATCACCCAAAAATAATTTCACACAAAAAATAAACTAGTCACATTTGTTTTTCCCACACATTGCTTATGAACTTAGATCTTCCA